AAGGTGTAACAATGTTAGACTGTGGCGTGGTATGTCTAAAGTCTAAATTGTGCGGAGAATCATCCAATTTACATATTCCCAAATATTTCTTACGATTCCATTTCCGTCGTGTAAGAGCATGGTAGAAAATGTTGTAGACATGCACACATTGACATGTATTTAATACCCGTTATCGATACTGTCAGCAATGACATTTGCCTATATATATATTCTCCGGGTTAGGAAAATTGAACCTAAATGATGACATTTGAACATGTACACATTCCTATGTCACACAGAGTTGCTGTTTTGTTTGCAACACTAAACTCACAGTAATGTCAGTAAGCAAGTACAGCAATGGAACATTGCAATATGAACTGTCTGAGAAAATATCTGAACTCATTTTTAATGATATGATTTTAGAAATGATATCCGAGTAAAAAAACAAACACTACAACGTGCACATGACACGAACCCAAATAGTGTTTGCCATCGCTCTTTCTATGGCAGTTGTCATTTCTATAAATACCAAGTATGATGATTTTAATGAGTGAGTGAGTTTGGTTTAACGCCGCTTTTAACAGTATTCCAGTTATATCACGGCCTTTTGGGAGGAAAGCCCGAAGTGATGCAGCTCTAAGACGTTTACCAGTTCGGTGAAACCAACGAGCACGGGTATGGTGCTGACAAACCTAGAAACATAATTGGGGCGAACTGGGATTCGAACCCACAATCATAGGTTTCTGGCGTGCCCAAGGGACGCAACTCTGCACAGCGAATCGCGGCGCCTTAGACGACTGGGCCACCCGTGCCCCCGATGATTTTAATGGTTATGTATGCAACAGTCAATCTATGTAAATCCCTAAACGAATCCCCTTCAGAGACCGTTTTTATTACAGTAAATGTATTCCACATTTCTAAGGAGGACAAGTATAGTAATTTATATATTACTCGCTAAAAGTTGGCGCAAAAACTAAATGCAACGTTACACAAATACGTTGCTGGTATAAGGGTAGCGTATGAATAACATTTGCAGCTTATGATTCGACAATAGACTGATATCAATAAGAAGAACGGATAAGATGAAGATTCTAAAAACGCGGAGCGAGCCCGAGACACGATCTACTCATCGCACCAGTCATATGATTTCATGCAAGTGAACAGATATTATATTTGTTATGAACTCTGTAACTTTCTTTGGATAACATCAATTACGCGCACCACACATTCACGATACGGGAGTGCATCTGCCGACACAGCGAACACGAAGTTTCTGATGACTGTCTAATGCAACAATGCATCCATTTGCAACAAAACGTTTACATTTGTTAATCGACTGTGGCGCGTGAATTTTGTGATGATGCTTCGACAAAAACTATTATTTTGGTGATAATCTAAGTGAGTGAGTGAGTATGGTTTTACGCCACTATTAGCAATATTCCAGCAATATCACGGCGGGGTACACAAGAAATGGGCTTCACACATTGTACCCATGTCGGGAATCGAACGCGGGTCTTCGGCGTGACGAGCGAACGCTTTAACCACTGGGCTACCCGACCGCCCCTGGTGTTAATCTGAACCTTTATGATTGGATGGTGCTTGCATTATTACAATTTTATGTCAAAGTTCGGCTTAGTATACGCTTAGTATAGTGCTTTTGTTATAATGACAGAGACACCAGGCCCCTTGTCAATAGCCTGTGTACGCTAACACTGATCCGTAAACAACTTCCCGGTCGTGTGCAATGGCGAGTGTCTCGATGACTGACCGTCAACAGGGTAGCTTCGGTCTGCTGATAAAGTTCATATTTGATGAGGTTTCAAATAATACAATGATAGTAACACTCGATGGTGCCTTATGAATGGTACACCGACTATCTGAATCCTAAAATCATTCAAACGCATGCAGGGTTATGAGTTTCCTGTTAATACTTTAAAGCAAAGCGACAGCATAGAACTCACAAAACATACAAAACTACTTTCTAAACATAACACAATAACAACACCTTATTCTGACTCCGAGACGACCTATCTTTGATTTGGAACAGTAATGCCGAGCGCCAGGCAGTGTAACAACAAGTACCATCTTAATCATGTATTTTGGTATGACGCAGCAAGATGATTGAACCACCGACCTTCCCCTCTCAGGCTGACGCTCCACTAGACCACGGAAGCAGGTCGCGATACATTATTGTATCAATAATTGTATATATCATCATTGTATATGACCAGTGAGACAAGTGTGTCACATGTATGTTGCCCTGAGCTGTGTGGAAGGCAAAAATATGTCCTGCAGGTTTTTATGTGATTGAAAACGCGTATCATGCGTATCATAGTACATGCACTCGGTGGTCCGGAAAGCTATCTGGCTCCATTGCTGTGAATGTAATCATGAACTATCATTGTACATGATGTAAGCTTCTTTGTTTTTACTCAATATTTGAAGTGCTTAACTTATTTCACTTTCAGTTATAAATACAAAATAGCCATGTAAGCAACAGTGGTATTCAGAGTAATATCTGTACATTTGAATAGGGAAGAAAGAGATACCTTCACTGACTATATTATGTGTAAGTTATGATGAGTTTGCTTCTGAAAGACCCTTCGCTGTTGTTTCGCTCACTTGGTTCAGGAAAACAAGCGTGAGTGGTTCCAGCTGATCTACAACTCGACATTTTAAACTTTGTCAGTGTTTGACATTCCTCACTAACATTGATGTCACGGCTAGTCAGCTTGGTATAGTATGCTACTGACAAATATAATGTTATAGACACACATAAATAGAATAGAACCCACGACAATATGTTTATGACATATCTAAGTGATATGCGCAGTGATAAATAGAGGTTATCACGCGAGTGTGTTTTGGGATGGTAAATATCCTGCATTAGGAATAAACATTGTATTTAGCGAGCCTTGGCGAGCTAAATACATAGTGTTTATTCCTAATCCAGGATATTTACCATCCCCAAACACACAAGCGTGATAATCTCTTTATCATATAATGTCATTCTTTAATTCTGTGCTTCAAAATCGCTTTCCCTTTCTTACAAACATTACCGAAACATTGCGAGTTTTCCTGGAATGCGCGCATTAATATTTATTACGTCACCATGTAAGTGACATGTCAGTCGGACAGTGACAGTAGCCAATATAGTTCCAACTGAAATCTGTTTCTTATACAGTGGCGAAGCAACATATACGCAAAACAGCAATTGTTTTTAATTGCCTTTCGCGGCAATCCATCGGTCTGTCTGCTAGAGTCAAAGGGAAGCTACTCTAACCCTAGTCTAGAGACGTCAGGGCCACGGTCAGACGTTGTTGACAGTCGGTCTGTCCTGTCATAACGTTAAGAAGTGTAGTCAGATGTACAAACAGCGACAAAACGAAACAGGGTAACAATTCAAACATATTTCGGCCAAATCCAACTATTTTAATTTGTGGAGAAAGGTTCAAGCCGCAGAGGTCTACAATCACTGCCCTCGCAAAATTGTGTCGAAATCTCCAAAGTTACCAAAACTTATAAAATGCCTTAGCTACGTCACAGTAAGACAATGATTTTCAGTATATTAGACTGTTCTTTTGATAATGAAAGCAATTATCTCTGTAGTTTATCCAGATTCCCGATGGTTAAATCTGACTCGATCGCCGAATGACGAGGGCGACGCGCCATGTTTGTTTATAAACACTGAAAGTAGTCCCTACTTGACCTTTGATATTTGCATCTCTATCCGCATATGACCCCAACGGATATCGTTTTTATCCGTTGGCTTTATCCTGCCGAGAAACTATACCCATTATATGACAAAGCTGTATGTTACAGCCATTGGTAGAGGTATCTTTGTTCTCTTTGATATTTGATATTTAACCGAATCACGTTATATGTTAGAATTGATATACATCCTCTAATTAAGAATTTGGATAAACGTATATGTGTTTCAACCCGATAACGTACTCAAATAGCGTGTACCTTTATAATGTGATAGCATTACATTTTAACTTTTACCTAACAACTGGAGGAAGTTGTGTTTGTTCCTGGTAGCCGTTATCCCTTTGTGCTGTTACCTTGATGAAACACCCGAGTTTACAATCCAGTTGTTCCACTCTCTCGAATACAAACTGTACAGTCACAATGTATAATGTTTCAGATGTATGCTTTTCATACAGTCGCATAATTAAGGAAGTATAACTGTCATTGAAACGAAGTAAGCAACATGTGCTGCAATTCTCTCCATTTAGTCGATAGTTGCAACGAGATTCTCCAATAACTTTAAAAAGCGTCAAAAACGCAATGGTCGTGTGTATATCATAAATCTTATTTTGATGGTTGTCTCACACATTAGTGCCATACCACGGAGAGGGAGAGGATCGGATTCCCATGTTCAGCAGTAAACATGGTATGTTTGCCATTCGAGTACTATAGCAAAGCGATCATTGGCGTGTATAATTCAAAAACTGACGAAGGCAGACGTTTTTTTCACGTTATGAAAACCCTCGACTTGTGCAGTGATCTTAAATAGTGCGAATATTGGATCCGAATCCACGACAAGTTCAGCCTAGTGACGCCTTTGACCTTCCTGGTTGCAATACATAACTTGCTGGTGGTTATGGGACACGGTAAACACTAACGAACCATTTACACTCCTCATATTACGGAGCCACATTCTACCTTCTACCCTGGCACCAAATCATAACATACCACCGGAAAATGTTACTGGGCCACAAATGCGTGCACCATGTCAACGTCATGTATTACGATTTCCTTGAACTTAAGATATGTTTTGAAAGGTGAAAACCACTGGCCACCAAACATTTATTTTGTCTTAAGTGTTGACAGAAAACAAACTCAGTATTTGTTCATATTAATATGAACTGAGCTTTCACTGCGTTTCCTCGCATGGTTAATTACAAAGGAATACGTGCATGTCAAATTTGTTTACAATGTATGTAAGCAGCTTTCCACGTTTTCCCGATCACAAGTGTACATTTACTCATGCAGCAGTACATGCAGGTGTCCCTAGCTAATAAGTCAAGCAGAAACAACTTCCTGGTTAGCAAACATGGCGGGTATGTGGACACTGACTGCCAGCGTGATGTTGTCAGCCTGTTGGATAAAGCTTGTAACAGGTAAATTGTCAGTGTTTGTTTGACATTCTAGAAGTTCATGGGTAAATAAGATAAACATAAAGCTTTGTGGATGACGACTTCTTGTTTGTTGCATATCTTCACGTTTCCATGTAGATTCTTACAAATAAATCAGAATTGTTTATCCATAACGCTGTACGTTTTCACAGGTAAGTTCTCCTTACTTTACCTACAGTGTATTATATGATGACACGTTCACCCTTACCTCATTGTAACAGTGTTACCGAGGCCAGTGTCAGTTAGACACCATCGAGCAAGTATGACCCAGTTAACATTGTGCCTAAAATAACTTTGAAAAGGAATATTGCTTGAGCACAGCGTAATGCAACGAGTCATCTCTTTTGATGAAGCCACCTTGCAACTCTAAACCTGATTTGTAAGTGAGTGTCTATAATAATTGACGCCTCTGTCGTGTAGTGGATACAGCGTCTCCATGGAGAGCGGAAGGTCGGGGTTTCTTCCCTTGGCGAGTTAATACCAAGACATTGCTATATACATATAGTACTTGTTATGATATCATGATATGGTTGCCCTTGGTATTGCACTGCCACTCCGCCTGAAGAACTCTCCCAAGCTGTGCCATGTTGGCGTTGCTGGGTCCCTGACCTCCACTCTCCGCCCGAGACTATCCCACAGATGCTCTATTAGGGACAAGGAATGTAGCGGGCAAGTCGAATGTGCTTTTGCCTTTTCGTCGGAGATAATCGGTGACGACCTGGGTACGATGTGAACTGGCATTGTCATTTTGCAGTTCAAAATTTCCGCCGATAATTCTAGTGAATGGAAGAACGACGCAAAATGTTGTCAACAGATCTCTGATCATTCAAAAGGTCCACTCACAATAACCAAATCCCTGTGCCTGTCATGTGTGATACCGTCCCTCATCATGACACCACCGCCCCCACATCGATCATGGTCACGAATTGTTGCCCTGGCATACAGCTCGAGGCTGCGTCACCAACAACTTTTTCTGCCATCTGTGGCAATCCTTCGTCTGTAAATATGGTGCAACGCCATTGGTGCAACGCCCGTCCATGGTTTTGTCTACTCCACCCCAATCTTTGCCGACTTTTCTATGGTGTTTGGGCTTTCTGGCGGGCTGGTTTTTAACGGTAGATGTTGAAATTTGCCTTCCTGTCATTGTACGGAATTCTCTACTGACAACAGGAGTAGATTTTAATCTACTGCGTAGTGCAATTAATGTATTGTCGAGGTGTCGTTGTTTAGGCCTGCCACGCCCAGGTCTCATTATTCCGCACCAACCCGTTTAACGATAATTGTTCCATAGTCCAGTAATTACACATTTTGATTTGCCAAACATTCTGTGAACTTGATATATTGACGTCAACCATCTGCCGTACCAAGAGTACGCCATGGTGTATGTTGATTGGGATGCTGTCACAGGTGCGTTTTAATTAAAGTGTGCTCAGCTCAAGTTCATTAGTGATTGTGAGTTCACGTGCTGTTCATGCAAGATGTGAAATTTCATTGTGACGAGGTATTATAAATGTACACCTCAACGACAGCTACATTTAAATCATTAGTTCCTTAGTGTTTGTCGGTAGTAGATGAATAGTGGATAGCGCAGAGCATTTGTTTAACAATGCAGCCATCTATATTTCAGTTGTATGACGACTACTATACCTGCCACTGGGCACGATGACACCGAATATAGGTAATTCGCGTCACAGTCGCATATATGTATAGATAAGCCTCAAATTTGACCCTAACATTTCAAATACACGCTTGATTCATATCGTGTCATCTACATAAACAACCTGTAAAGATTGGAATAACCTATAATTATGTACATATCATAATCGCACTCTGACTGATCAGGACCAAGTAGTTTCCGAGGTAATGGTGTAATCATTCGTAAACTAGCATTTGTTGGTGACGACTAAGACGGAATAGTTTAAACTTGACTTGGAGCATATTGACTCAGAAACCAGTGTACAAAATATCAGGTTGGACTATTGCTTATGTTAACTAAAGGGTAGAGTAACTGTTCTTCAATCTGGACAAAAATATTGTCCATTGAAGGCACCTCTGTTGGAAGTGTTTAAACAATTCCTGTCATTGTTTAAATGATATCCACAGGTACATGCCCCCTAGGACAGTTTGGTGATTCCTGCACCTACCCCTGTCACTGTGGAGATTCCTGTGACCAGACAACAGGAGCTTGTGGAGGAGACTGTGATGCTGGTTGGGTTGGAGGAGAAAGAACTAACTGCCAGAAAGGTGGGGTGTTGATTTAGGAGATTAACTTACATGAAGTCGATACCTTTATTATCCTTCAAACCGAAAATATAAGATTTGTCTCCGATGTTCATAGAGAAAATGTAGTTTACTCTGTGGTTATCATAAAAGTTGTGAGTGATGGTTGGCTGAGTCTTATATTTCCAGTAGTTGGAATTGTCGAAGCCACGTAAGTTTATTTTCAGATAATCAAATGATCACTTGCTCCTTAAAACCCATCATTATGTACTACATACCAAGTTTAAAAGGAGTGTGGTTTTATAAAGGGAAGGTAAAGGGAATCAGATGTTTTCTGTAAAAACACATACCTATTTAGGTAAATTTTCTCTTGTACTTGTACTTAATGAATAAATGCATTGGATATTAGTTAGAGATAAACGAGCTCTCATGAAAGTAACTGTCAAATCAAGCAAACATGACCTGGTCGACACTGTTGTATGTTCAAAAATATTTGATACACAAATACAGCCAATTCTGTTAACTGGTTCTGAAGTCTACAAAGATATGACAAGATAGAATATGTACATTTAATGGCATGTACGAAAGTTGTAAAAGTTGGACTCAAGACACCAAATGTTATTGCCTCTGGTGAATGTGGTCGTTACCCTTTGATAGAGATGCATGATGGTAGGGTACCGTAAAAAGCCTTCAGTATGTTTTTTATGTTATGATAATTCTGGATATAATAAATATATGTCACATATTCGATCTTTGTTGGTGATAAGTAGCTTTTCTTAAGATATTTAACAATGACCAAATACATATGTATTTTCAGTCCGGGAATATCACCTTGAACAATGGCTCCAGATTTAGCCTGTATATGGAGTTAGAGCCTGATATATATATATCTGTAATCTCAGACAAGAAACATTGTAAGATGATTATTAGACGACAAAATTGATATTGTCTGGAAATTGTGAAATAATGCTAAACAACACATGTAAATTAGTTTCGCAAAGCTAAACTGAGCAAAAGATATTTATTTATTTACCATGATGAGTAAAAGTTTGTATATATCTATACAAATGTCATGTGTATGGACCAGTGGCCTTCATAAGACTTTTCTCAATATTTAATAAACTACCAATCTGATTTAAGGAAGAACTGCTTTCAAATAAATTATCCCTTTGCATTAATACAGTCATTATCAAAATCATTGGCTAACCTAAATTCTAACTTAACACTGAATAATGTTTAACGTCAAACTGATTAAAAAGGTAATGGAAGTAAGTCAAGTTGAGACACGTCGATGTTCGGGATGGCGTGATAGGCATTCTGAATTACTGTATCTTCTGGATACTTCAACACTGTGATTTAAATAAGACATTTGAGAAATAGGGTAGTTCAGTGTTTTTCTCACTATTTCTATGATCTGTCACGGAAGATGTCATGTTAATTTCCAAGAAATAACTTGGTTGAGCCCAAGCAGTGCAAATGCAGGAGGTTGCAATGAAATTAAGTATATATCTATGCATAGGTTAGACCACGAGGACAAAGTGTCTAGTCGTTGAAATGGTTAATTCAACCACGAGGCACGTGAACTTGAGAGATTACATTTTCATGTTTGTCGCTGCCCCTTTTCGGGCACGTCCGAAGTAAGCTGGCCTATTTGCCCATGTGTTAGTACGCGTTCCAAGAAAGCACCGTCTTCAAAATATTCGTGTCCTTATCGTGGAAAGTAGGTAAACCTACTGCATTTTTAATTTGAGATAGTCTTATTGTGGACCAGATAACAGATACCTCTTATTCTAATTCGAACCCACTGATCAATCATCCTCCAGTGTTATGCAAAGTCATTTCTGGATTCATGCGTGGTTGAGGTTTTACTGTCATTATTATTTAATGTATATATTACAAATACTACTACATGGGGAACAAAATGCATACTGAGATACACACACAATACAAAACATGGTCATACCTACACGATGTGGGAAATAGAATATAAGTTGTTGATGCAAGAGAATAACCATCCTAGGTTTTCTGCCGAAACATATTCCACTTGGCGTAAAAGCTGTGGAAGATGTGATTGTCTTGCAATGCAGAGTGGTAACATATACAGAAACAAGCATGTGATATAAATATAGATATAAATTAAATGCATGGAGCAAATATGAATGATAATCCCCATAAAAACTTGTATGAATAATGATAGCTACTGATTTATTTATGAATTACAAAATCAGTGTTTTCAAGTTAATCTAGACTTCATGATCCAATAAACCATATGAAATGTTTGTTGGTGACAGATTCTGTACGTTTATTCTGAAAGCAGGGTTTTGTAAATATTCTGGGAAAGCTCAATACTTACTGTTTTTACTATGACTCCAGACTCCAGTATTTAAATAATGAAGTGAAATATCTAATGCCGTTCCATATTTTTATGGCAAGAGTCATTCTGCCAGTCTACGTGTATATCCGATCACTTATCCCCTCTCCAGATGGTGTCTGGTACTTTTCGATAACAACCTTTTTATTAAAACAAAAAACCCAACATTTCCATAAGTCCATTATATGATTCTGACTATATCATAATTATGTGTTTATGAATCACTATTAAGTAGCGATCATATACGGTGTTTCCAAAAAGGTGAGCATATCCTGCCGAACCGGAGGCACCCGTCACAAACACATGCAGAGGCAAGTGAAATGTTCATCTTAACATGTACAGATAGGGAATGGCATCAGACATAATTCTTTGTCACTGATGCGTCAAATTTGGAAACATCCTCCACTTGTGTAGTACCAAAACACTTTTTGAAAGCCTTTACAAATGCCTTGAATGTTATAACCCTGATCAAACAACGGTTGTGCACAAGTCGTACGACGCTCTTGGAAATAATACAATTAATGTTTCAATTGATATACAGTTTACCTGGTGATTCTGAAAGAGTATTTGTGGCTTTTGTTTTGTTAATGACTATTTGCTACATTATTTAGCTCATCACTGGAATACCTTTCCATCTTTGATATGTATATTTCTAAACAGAAAACGTTGCCTACAGAAGACATGCCTACTCCCCAACTCCCCTTTACAACACTGCGTGGTCTGCAGACAAAGTGGTAGATGGGAACCGGGCTCAGAGTGTGTGGAGTGGATCCTGTTTCAACTCTGCTGACAACGTATGGAGCTTGTGGACAGTGGACCTTGGACAGCAGTACAGACTACATGACGTCAGGATTTACCATCCACTTCAGAGTATGGATTCAATGTCATTTAAGACATCTAATTTATATCCAGATAATGTTTGCCCATATTGTGACATGTTGCGATAAATCCAATGTGCTATCGTCGAATTTCTTTTAGGGCACTAATGAAAGCCCTGTAGAAATCTTTTTGAAATACTGACGTTGCAGAGAGTGTGTGGATTGATCAGTTTGAATAACAGTTGTTCATCACAGGTAGATGTCATGAAACTAAAAGCATTTTGAACACCGGATAGTAAAGGGACCATTGTCTAATGAACACTGGCATGTTTGCTTACACACAGTACAAAGACAACAACCGTTTTGTTCGTCCCTGTGTTGTTATTATCATGCAACATCGCTTCTAACACATACAGATACATATAAAGTGAGTTTTAATATTAGATAGCCTATCTATCTACTGAACATTGTATTTACAGTAAAACCTTTTCAGATCCAGATAGAATCCTTCCCATTGTACTCTACCTGAGTAACACCAGCACCTCACTCGGCGTCCCATGCTACACCTTCCCCTCCGACACCGATGTCACAGGCAACAGCATCTACAACGTTACATGCGATGACAGAGGGCGATACTTCACCATCACTAACACCACATTCCTCAGTCTTTGTGAAGTCGAAATATATGGTATGATTTCATGCTGATTTCATTCTGTCTGCGTGGATATCACATTCGGAATGAGTATGTGTTAACAGAGAGCAAATTTCAGACATGTTTACTTGAATTATTACAAGTTCTTATTAAAAATCTACAATTCGATTTTTGCAAACTGTTCGTACATATATGCATATCGTAGCTTTATAATTTGTGGCTAGGGATCAAAACATACCTAGCTGCTCACGTAAAAGGACCACGTGAGGAAAACGAACACTGAACAGATACACACAGAAAGCAACACGAAATAAGCAGCAAACAATAATAATGTAATTGTGCTACATGTTTAATGGTACAGTTTCATTGTAAATGTGGGCAATATGTGCAATGATAGCGTAATTCATCAGTAGAATTGTGTGCGACCTGATAATTTCGAATTGACTAAATTATCAGTTTTTTGGCATTCCGTCCTAAGTTTGCAGTCCACGTCTGTATGGCCAAAACTGTAATCAATCCTGTCACTGTGCTGAAGAGGTCTGTCACCCTGTCAGTGGGGTGTGTCCTGGAGACTGTAGACCAGGATGGCAGGGAGACAGGTGTGATACAGGTGAGGGGATTTAGTCTGTTGTGTGTGTCCTGGAGACTGACGACGGAGGTGGCAGGGGACAGGCTCGATGCAGGTGAGGAGATTCAGCCAATGGTGTGTGTCCTGGAGAATGTAGATCACGGTGTCAGGGGAGACAGAGGTGACATAGGTGATGAGATTCAGTCAGTGATGTGTCTCATGGAGACTGTATACCAGGGTGACAAAGAGTCAGGTGAGATACAGATGATGAGATTAAGTCAGTGTTGTGTGTCCTGAAGACTGTAGACCAGGTTGGCAGGGAGACAAGTCAGCTTAATGTAAAGCTATGGTGTATCATAATCGGGATGAGCCAGGATTCGAACATACAACCATAGGTTTCTGGCGTGACTGAGGGTCGCAAGTCTACACAGCGAAATACGGCACATTAGACGACTGGGCCACCCGTGCCCTAGATTTGGATAAGAACATCAACTGGAGCTTCAGGTATATCGATCAATAATGGTCAAATGACGCATCTGAGATAGAAATAAGAAAGATCAGTGGAACAACCTAATCTGTTTCATATTTAGATATAGGCAAAAAGACCCTGACTGACAAAATAATATCCACCAGATTGCTAGCCAAGGATGGCTTTAACTTTCCATTTATGTGTTCACCCTCTCGCCAGCACCTGGTACCCTCACTATTTGACAGCGATTAATCAACAAAGGCATATGATGTAATCGATTCTGCTTTTGGCAGAGATATAATATGATTATGGAAATGATTTTGTTGCTTTTAATTAATTACAGCGTCGAGTCACTAACTGTTTCAATATGACCTGAACCTTTTTGCAATGTGAATTCATTATTATCCTGACGTCATCAATGGTGTTTTATTATGTCAGCAAGATTGTAGAGTGCGTAACATCAATGGGACACGCGTAGGTCTTATGCAATATTATCTTACAAGCAGTCGTAGAATATATAGCAGATTTCCTCTACCGTGATAAATAACTGTCTCGATGAGTTACTAATTACAAAATAACTTATATGCAAAAGTACATGAATTGTGGTTGTGGAGTTTGATAGGTTGTGTTGTTGTACTATGATACACACATGACACTGGCAACTACTTACACATTTTCACGTACTACACTTGAATCACTTGAATTCCTAGTGATCCATTTGTAATAACTGGAATATAGGCAAACCATATAATAACTAATCCCCGAAAAGAACATTTTGATTCAGTAATACTCACGTTTTTGTTTTTCCTGTAGAATGTGAAGCTGATCACTATGGAGTCAACTGTGTGAACATATGTAGTGACAGGAAGTGTTCTTATGTCAACTCGTTATGTGATCGATACACTGGGTCATGTGACACGGCATGTCTCGCTGGTTGGAGAGGAGTGGACTGTACAGAAGGTGCTGGCTGACATTTAATTCAAAGCAGAGTTGGAATATGGAATTTGGAATATCTTCTAATCAACATCTTGTATTAGTCTATGAAATGAACTGTCATGTTGTATCAAACTGTGATATGTTACAAGTTACTTTAAACTGCCTCCGTTGTCTAATGGACACTGATTCTATGCAGTGTGCGATTCGATCCCCTCCCCGCTATATACCCCAAAAACGTTCAAAGATGGTACTTGCTTTTACCATGTCATAGGTAGGTCATTAAAAGACATACATCTTTTTTGTACCTGTAAGATTGCTGATGCGACTTAACATCTCAAATCACCCACTCACACTTTCAATATCAAGTGGAATTATGCCCCAGAGAAATGCATATATACATTAATCAGTGTTTGATCTGCACAGCATGCGGACTAATTTGATATGAGAGCGAACATGTAACCGTGAAGAGATATGTAATTACTCACGTCATCATTTCCCATTAGCAAAGTCACAACTCTATGCTAATTTGAGTCGGTTCATTGTATGTTGGATGTATTCTCACTTTATGTATATGAGGCCTATTTCGAAGTGGGTATGATCATTTCCCCGTAAGCACCAAACGTGAGATGATGAGTCAGTTTCCCGTTAATGTCACACCCCATGTCCAAAGTAGAGTCGCTGTCGTTGATATCTGGATTCATACAAATAACACTGTTTTTCATTCACAGAATGTAACAACGGTACCTTTGGGCAGAACTGCAGTAAGACTTGCTCAAAAAGGAAATGTGAAGGCGATTCGCCGTGTGACCATGTTATCGGAAAATGCATTTCTGCATGCGTATCTGGATGGATGGGTGAAGATTGCAATGAGGGTAACGGCATCATTCAGTAGCCTTACATATATAAACAGCTTATAGATACACATCTTGTGTTGCATTATTGCGGTGAACAATGTTGCTGATTTCGTATTATTGTCTACGATGGTTTGTGTTTAATGATTAAAAAGGCAGTCTGTCAAGTTATTTTTTTACGTATTTCTTTAAATGACTTGACTTCAATAGATTGTTGCGTTTATGGAGTTATAAGTGTAAAACGGAGTGCACACAACAATAATCTCCTTGCAAAACCCCACTGATTACACCTCCACCTGAGCACACGAGTTAAAGATTGGCTCCATAAAAGTAATTACTTTTTTCCTTCAACAATTGTTTTGTAATGTTTGGAATTGAAATATGAAATTAGCTGAAATCAGATTGAATAAAACGAGTTCAAATGTCACCCTGGAAAGCTTTTTTGAACAAATGTGTCTTGAGTTTTGCTTTGAATGTCTGAAATGTTGGGAAAAGTATAATCTCAATTTGAAGATCATTCCATCACTTTGGGGTAGCCACAATGAAGGTCTTTAGTCCATAGCTGGAAAGTCTATGCTGAGGAACAGATAGCAGGTGTTGACTTGCTGATCGAAGAGTTCTTGGTGGATTATGACGCTGGTGCAGAGTGGAGAGATAAGCTGGAGCCTGGTTGTTGACATACTTGCAAGTCAAAGACAGCATTTTGTATGTGATCCTTGACTCAACCGGAAGCCAGTGTGGATGCTTGAGGACAGGAGTGATGTGTGACGTACGTGATGGCCTTGTCACAATCCTGGCCGCCGTGTTCTGCACTAACTGGAGACGGTCTAGCTTTTGTTTTTGCAGCCCCGCACAACAAGCTGTTTCCATAGTCTAGCCGAGAAAACACCAAAGACTGAATCAGATTCTTAGCCGCTTCTGTGGTGATGGTGTGCCTTATCTGACCAATGCTTCTTAAGTGATCTGCAAAGCTGGTTAACTTGGGCATCAAGGGTGAGGTTTGAGTCAATGATCATACCTAGACTTTTCACTTTGTCCATGAAGTCAATCTGCGATTGTCGAGGTGGTAAAGGTAGTCTCTGGTACACTGCAAAGTTGATGTTTGGTTCCAGCTAGTATGGATTCGGTTTTGTCGTCTTTTAACTTAGGCCTCCTTGATGACATCCACGACTTAATGTCAGTAGAGCACGCATTAATACGACCCAGTGATACTGATGTTTCGTCTGCAAATGTCTGCTGTTTCAATCCATGATTCTGTACCACCTTCTGTAGACTGTTTGTGTCATAGGCGAACTCCACACTCCATGTAGAAAGTATCAGACTTCTGCTTGTCAATGATGACTGCTTGGCCTCTACCTGACAGATAGGACCTAATCAGCCTTAAAGCTTCACGGCAACACCAATATGTAAATCATGAGCCATTACTTCATACAATCGTGCATGGTCAACCGTATCGAAAGTAGCCAATAAATCTAAAAGAACAAGGACAGCAACATTTCCACTATCTACAACACTTCTGGGGTAATTGAGGATATACAACATCACTGTGATTAGCCCGATATGAGGACTAAAAGTCGCTCAATAAAGAGTTATCAGTTAAGTGTGATTCAAGGCCTTAATCCACAGCTTTCTCAATTAGTTTGGAAACAAATGATATGTTTGACACTGGTCTAACGTTTTTCAACTGATTAGGATCCTTTTCTTGAGGAGTGGTTTGATGACAGCATGCTTTAGGTTATCTGGAAAAATCCCTGAAGCAAGATAACTGCTCACCAGTTGTGTAACGATTGGCATCAGAACATCCAAAAGATCCAAAAATAGTTGCGTTGGTACAGGATCTATTGGACATGTGGTCTTCTTAGATTTCTTTATGAGCAATTCAATTTATGCTTCACTAAAGGGTTTGAACTGAGTGAGAACTTCACAGTCTGTCACATGATCATGAGTCATATTGACCATTTCATCCGAGAGAGGGAAGGTGTTCCTGATCTTGGTAACAAAGAGGACCAGATGGAAAATGTCCCACGTGTATCCTCCTTCCTAGATTTTAAAGAACGTTCATGTAACAATGTCAATACATATATCGTTGCGCAAGATGTGTGTGAATCTTGTGTGTGCTGAATGGATGCACGGGCATCTTTAAACATCTAAACACAAATCTAACAAAACGAAGTATTTATCTCCTAAGTGTTAATCACGTGATTTGCTTTTGTGTTATTAGCCTGTGACAGCCAGCACTACGGGCCTAACTGTATCAAGACGTGCGCCTCCCGACACTGTGTGGGCAATTCTTCCTGTAACTCAGCAGGGCACTGTGACTGTGGGTGTGAGACAGGGTGGACAGGAGCGGACTGTACAGGTAATGATGTTATGTCACTAGGTAGGCAGTGAGTAGCGGACGAGGAAGTGGATGTACGTCTACGGTAATAAAGTAATGTATTATGTGCAACGATAATTTGTAAAACAAAGTAATGCAACATCAAATTGAAAGCTAAAGTAGTCGATCAGTTGATGGAAATTCGAAAGATTATATCCATTTGCGATAATAAAGTCACATTGGCATCAAGACTTTACTGTTTCCTTACAGAAAAACGTAAATCAGTCTAATACTATCAATGATACAAAAATACTAAACTGTTGATAAGGTGAGCAGTGACTTTGGTGTTTGCCAAAATATAAAACACATCGATCTCCATCTTTTTCATTGGGAAAGATAGAAAATTAAATTCTGACAATATGTCCTCAATACTTCATACTAATTCAGTTGTGATAAACACGATGTGTTATGAAAGCCGTACGTGTTTGAAATGTAAAACAGATACAGTCTTATGTTGTACACTTTCGCATTTATCTCTTCTTTTAAGAATTCTGATCGTCTATTCATTGTGTACACTGTCTCAAATATCAATATGCCTGGGAAGACAATCATGCAAGAACTGTGAAATTTGATACACTCTAATATACTGTCATGGGGTTGCTGTTCAGGGGGTGTTGTTGCATTAGAATGTATTTGGGTGGTCATGTTCTGACAACCTATGGGTGTACAAATGGGACAGACCAGTCTTACCTCATGGCTGTGTAACTGCATTAAGTTCTTATACTCGTGTGTGTAATACATCGTTAAGGTATATTTATTCACTTCATTTCAAAAACATACTTCATAGTCATGGCATGGCAATGCATCGACTTTTACATTTGTGGGATAACTCACATCACAATAGTGAATGTTTCCTGGAACGTGGGCTATACTTTAGTTGTCTTATCAAAACTATTTGTTTTGGGAATAGGATTCACATTGAGTAAACATCTGTAAGTTTATCTTCGACTTGTAATTGCTGCTTATTATTTAATACGGGTTATTCACTATACTTATTGTTAAGAAGACATGGATAATTCTGGACACAATGATATTATATAATCATCTTTGTCACAATGTGTTTTACAGATATTGTGCAGTTTTCTATATAATAATATCCCAATACAAAGTTGAATTTCTATTTGGACAAAAAAGAATTCTTTCTAAATTTGCCATAAGTGTGTTAATCAAATCGTGTTACATCCAGTCATATCAGAAACAATGTTAGGCACGTGTTAAACACCATGGCAAATGATGTAGCTGTTATTTCTGTATAGTTGTTTTTTTTTTATGCTTCCATCATCATTCCTATCTGGGATCCTATTGGACACCCTCCGTGGTCACACACACACACGCACGCACGCACGCACACACACACACACACACACACACACGCGCGCGCGCGCGCACACACACACAGAGTCATATTCATTGAACTATACATTGACCATGTAGCGATTGGTACATATTCATAACTTAACATCAATCCGTTTTAAATGTATGCAAGCAGGCGGTTTTTATAAACCATAAAATCTGAAATGCCACAAGACCAATACAAGGTTGGGGAGCTGACACAAAATAGTTTAGACATAGGAACACGTTTGTACTTATTGACAATGGTTGTTCTCGATACTTTTGCTAAATATGCATTTTAGATGCATAAACATTATTGAGTGACCTTTTCCTTTATGTATTCAGAAGGAGCAAGGTCTGTACAAGCCGCCGGATCTAACCCTAGCCAGTTGGCTGTCGCAGTGGTTCTTGCATTCGTGGCTGGTGTTGCAGTAGGTGTCATCGTCAGTGCTATTGTCTGGAGGAGAAGGAATAGGTAAATGAGTCACTCTAGTCACAATATATATTTCCAAGAAATATAAAAAAATGTCAAAAAGTAATATGTTTCTTCAGTTCAAAGATAGGATCATACCTGACATGAACATGACGTCATTTTGGATACTGCATCTATGTCTTTCAAATACTTGTTTACATCAAGCTCAGAATGTCCTTACATTGTAGACGCCTACACAAGACATCGCGCACAACCAATGTACCCAACGCTCAAACTGAAAGATCACAGACCAGTGATGACGTTGGCTCAGGAATTAGAACATACGACGGCCTCGGTGCAGTCTCATATGACGCCAAAATGCAAGGAGGGACTTATTCCACCATTAAGTCTGAAAAAACAGATTTAGGAACTGGTGCCAATGTTCTGACATGTGACGTGTCCGACACTATCGGAACAGGGACGTATGAAACCCTTGACGACACGTCACGTGGAACGGATGGTGAATACAGTGAGATAGGGAAACCTAAGTGACTTTCTAGTGACAAACTGACTGTTTAAATAAAATGATATATGGGTACTCTAAGATATATTTCTGTTTTTGTGGGTTTAAAATTCAGTTTTTGCTGAATATGTAAAACCTATTTCAAGTTATATGCTTAGACAAAAGTAATACCAGTGTTACATATTTTTTCAGGCATGTCAAATACCTCATGCTATGCTGATAGGAAAAAGTCAAAAGTTATTATATCATAAATTACCTCCTATTGTGACAAGGGAAGCTTTGTTGATAAGTAATAAAGTTCATATTGAATTATCGCCGTTTGTTACCAGGGGCGCATTAAAATTGTCTAGCAATTATTATCTCCCTTTGGCGCTACAGATTTACAAACATATTTGTGCATTCTTTTTGTTTATTTGTATTTAGGTTGTTGTATTTTCTTATCAACTTATTTTGTATATGATACTCGGCTATGTTGTGCATACTACGCAAACCACTTTTCACATTTTGTAAACCTAGGTAAACCCAGAGTAGTAGCATGAGTAATGGGTCATTCTATACGTAGCCTCCAGCCCTGCTTGTAATCTCTATGCTGTAGGAGCTTTTGGTGTCATTAATATTTCATGACTATGATAGTTATATGTTTGTTATTGTGTTTTCACACACCGTTTCAACATCATTAGACCGGTTCACCGGCCAAGCCGTAGTCACAACATAAGAGTATCTAATTTTATTAACCTACCTGTCATGTTATTCATTTATTGAATCTATCATAATTTAACAATGTCTGAAATATATATTCTATTTCAAATTATTATTTTTTATCGATAAATATAATACTCTATTTCCCCCACACGTTTCTGAAAAAATATTCTCGGACACACACTTCGACAACGGGTCCACATCGAACATGTCAAAGAGTAAAATAAGGACGTTTGCAGCAAATATTTTAATATATTATACAAAGTAACAAACACACGAGGACGGTACTATCGCTATAATTTGACTGACAACGAACATTGTAGCACATTTCGCCAAGAAATAATTATCCAATAAAATCGGATGTTACAGCTACGTAAAGCCTTGGGTTACTATCGTGTAGATGAAAAATAAGCTTTCTAATGATGTGTCACATGGCAGTCTTCGACGCACGTGTTATTCATACGAAGTTACGGAAACGGAGGTATTTCTTCATGTTATTGTTATCTGGACGTTATGAATGTGTTAGTTTACATTTTTTGTTGCAACATTGTTTGAATAATGTGATAAACATAACTTCCTATTTATAAACAGTAGTAGGATTCAGACCTTTCAAATGGTGTATGACATGTAGTAGCAAAGATGTTTTACAAGGAGATATTTTCCTTGATAAATGTTGGTTTCATCTGTCACACAAGAATCTCTGGGAGCTCGGTGTCAAAGCAGTAAAAGTTTCTGGTTTACTGGTGTTGAAAGAGTTAATGTCACACCGGTGATTTTTGTACTTGAGTTATTTCTATAAACTATGTGTTTTGAAAACATGTGACGACCAGTTAGTCTAGAAATATTTTAAAACCATTACCATACTTATTGTAAAATATATCACTCATAGATTGTATAACTGAACATAGATAACTCTAACCTTTTTTTTTATTTATTGCTTTTTGTGTAGTTAAACATCTTGTAATTATATACGATCACTTGCACTACCTCAATAAACGGAATGATTTCAAAAGTCTGTGCGCACGGTTTCCTTCTCTTTTCAAGGTTCCCATAGTAAACAATTCCGACAACCAAGTGAGGTCTCTACCGATCATTATAAGAAGATGCCTCATGAGTTATCTACCGTTACGAAGTCATTCAAACATCAAGGAAGGCACGATTTCACTATCTACTGAACGTTTTCAAATAAACCAATCTATCTATTCACTGCGATAAACCAGCAAAGTGGGGCGTTTCCTAAAGCTGTTCATCTCGAGTAATGTTGAGAGTGAGAAGCATGATTAACGCACTAACATGAAACCTGTAAAACTTGTATGATTGCATGAGTAGGCGTCTCCACTGAAGTCCAAAACAACCGTGGTTGTGAGTGAGTGAGTGAGTATGGTTTTACGCCGCTTTAAGCAATATTCCAGCAATATCGCGGCGGGGGACACCAGAAATGGGCTTCACACATTGTATCCATGTCGGAAATCGAACCCGGGTTTTCGGCGTGACGAGCGAACGCTTTAACCACTAGACTACCCGACTGCCCCACGTGGTTGTGAGGATGTCCAATGGTAAGATCACGCCATAATGGACGAGTCTGCGAATAATGATAGGAATTTGGATTCAGTCCAGCTACATTCTGTTACTGTATAAAGAGGGCACACTTTATATATGCTTTATTGTCTTCAGAACATTAAGTAACTGCCGTTTAATAGATGTAAGTGTCATTTCCATTTCATTGAAAACGCATTATATTACGAAGACATGATGCTTTCGAAACACTAATTGAGTGTGGGTTTCTTGCTTTGATTGACAGGCTCTCTGAACTTTGTATAAAGCAAATTTGCTTTCCGAAGCTACTGACTCTGGAGGCACGTAGATGTATGTTAAGAACTTTAGCATGCCACGTCTAAACTGTATTGATACGATCAGGAATGTTTAATGATTTCATCAAATGTATCTGTTTTGATTTATTTGATTGTTTTGTTAAAGACCATATCTTTTTTTGTTGCGAATGCAACTAGCGAATAGATAATTAGTAATGAGTCGAAGCATAAACAAAGTCAATCATTAAATAAGTAAGAGCTAGACCTCCAATATGTCAACCCAGGTCGCTTCATATACTAACTTGTTAATTTAAGTATGGTACCAACTAACCTATAATCCTCTATGGGCTTGTAGACTTCCAAATACATTTATTCCGCTTTAAGGGATGTAACTGAAAAGGCAACTGAAGACGTTTTGAGGGAAAGCATATTTGGTCTAAATAAATGTTATTGACATTACCGTAAAACGTTTATTTTCATTCAGTGCTTCACACTAAATGGGTTCATTAAAAACATAATGCACTGCTCTGTTTACGTCCATTACGTCACTTCCTCTTCCAATCTCTCACCATTTATGTCGTAAATCTACTTCTTATGACGTCATCAAACATTCACTCTCGTCATCACGTACGCCATCGTCCATTGCGTTCTGGTAAGAATTTCTCTGCCAAGATGATCCTGTAATGCTCTACTTTCGGCTTTCATTTTCTATTCTTCTCCTTTCGACTCGAGCTTTTCGGCTTCTCTTCACAAATCGTTACTGTTTGTCTTCTAAAGCCGAACGACGCTGAGGATGATGAAGGTTCCCCTGGACTGACAACTGACAGCACAGGTAAGGTACTGCTGCGCAGCTTGCCAGACAAGTCAGGGCTTAAAGCACACGTATTCGTGGTAGTCTGTGCTGGATATAAGATCCCACCACTGCAGACGCAGGTAACTGTGATCCGACGTACATCACACACAGTGACGATGATTCGGACCTTGTTCTCTGGAGAGGGGGTGTTAAAGTGACCATAGTCAGTGTGAATATTCACTTGCAATACATACGCGAGCAGTGATGATAGATTATAATGGATCACCCTGAATGAATTGAGTGATTAAGAATAATAACATTTTACTTTAGGCCAGTGAACAAATGATTGCATATGACGATGAAGATGATCTGGTGGTGAATATATGACAACTATTTCAAAAGGATGAGTGAGTGTGAGTGCGTTGGGTTTAACACCGCTTTTAACAGTATTACAGTTATATCGCGGCGTGTCAGTTTAATTTGGGAGGAAAGCCCGAAGTGATGCAGGTCTCAGACTTTACCACTTCGGTGAAATCCACGAGCATGGGTATGGTGCTGACAAACCTAGAAACATAATCGAGGCGAACCGGGATTCAAACCCACAATCATAGGTTTCTGGCGTGCCCGAGGGACGCAACTCGGCACAGCGACCCGCGGCGCCTTAGACGACTGGGCCACCTGTGCCCCCCCTAAAGGATGAACTTGTTCATATTGCCACAAATTCGACACTAAACGATCATAATATGACAAGAGTTATGCACGCTATAAGGTAGATATATTAATAACTCTTTGTAAATACTTTTTACCTCATTCAAACGCTTATGATATGGTCCTGAGGTAGAAGCCGTTTTTTCCTCTTTCTTCATATGTGCAAAACTGGAGTTTACCTAATAGAATGAATACGTTAATTTTGATAAACATGGCGTTTCTTATGTCGGTGACAGTGTATGTTCAAGAGTAAACTGACCTAACAAGAAGTTGGTTGGTGACTTTGTATGAAATTGAATATAGGTATATCGCATTACTAACATCATGTACTTGTATTCATGAACAAATACAAATGTTGTTAGCAAAAGATAAAAATCTATATAAACTATCAACTCTTAAAGGACTGACATTTCTGTATGTTCTTAAAACAAACTTCCGACCCAATAAAACGTAAATGAAATTCAAATGTGACTGTATTCGGGAGCTGATGGTAATTGAAACAAAACACGGAATCAGCGCCATAGATTGCAGAGAGGGAAAATGCAGGTTCGTTAACACTCGCGTTAGATATTTACTGATAAGGGAACGTGTGTCTTGTATTATTGTATTGGTATATCTGTTTATTACAATAATTATCACTGATTGCGATCATCGTTTGTTGAAATAATGAAATCTAAAAATGATGTAGGGAATGGTTTAGCGATCTCTTCAAGGAACAGTTTTGTATTTATATATATATATATATTAAACTTAAAACTAAATTACTGTAAACAGGACACAAGCTCTTTTATGTCAAACTCAACCGTAACTATAATGCAATATGAATTAAATGAAAGTTTGATTCTCTATGACGGTTTAGTCTCTCATCCACGGTTTCCAAAGCAGTGTGAAAATATTGGAACAGAACAATGTTTCTTTTGATTTACGGGCAATGAGTCAATTTTGAAGATGGTGAGACCTACGGTGGACATCGTGCATTCAGTGACTGGTAGGGAGGTACAGTGGTTGTGATATACGTAAATCGTGTTGTAAAGTGTTACTAGCAGAATAACAAAAGAAAGAAAAGTAAAAGTCTACAATATTTTACCATGGCATTTCATAATACCGCACTCTGATTGGTCAGCCAGCGGTATCGAATCTACGTCAGACCATATATTTTTTTCTGAGGAACGAATTGCCGCGAAAAAATATTAACATCAACATTGCTTTACGTTTGGCGATCACGTACTGTGACGTCATGTCAACCGTGTCACAAAGCTTAGACTTCCTATCTGGAGACCTTTATGTCGTCATAATGGTAGTGTGTACTCTAGGAAAACATAGGTCGCTTCATTTTCTCTAGGGATTAATAATGCATGCATGATATATGCCTACGTTATTGTATTGTGTCTTATTAAAGTGGTTTTAATTATCATGGTTAAAACAATTATGTTATTGGTACAAGAAAGCAACCATATATGGAGATTACACCGAATCTTTAATTTAAACGTGAAATCGCCCTTTCAACCCTCTAAAACTATTTGGCTATATGCCACATCAAAAACAATTTCCACCTCATCTCTATGAAACCTTTACATTGAATACACACCAGACTGATATTCTAAAAAATGACGATTGGCATACGTCAGATTGTTCTGAATGTGTCTTCGAGAACGGAATATGTGCTACAACCGTTCACGCAAAGCGATTGAATATCAGACAGGCGCTAATAGTGATGGATATTGCCAGTCTTCAATCAAAAGGAATTAATAGTATCTGGAGAAGCGATCATATTCTAAATTGTGATAGCACAGTATATTTATTATGCACTGTTCACCAAATTGTTACATTACAAGTACATGTATTACCTCCTTCTTGACGTCAGCAAAACAACCTAGTCAAGGGTGACGAAATACTTTTACCTGCCGTGACAACAATTGTTGTCGTTGTAGTTGCCTTTGTCGTTGTCATCTGGAGAAGAAGACGAAGGCACATGATGTCGAATCCTATTAACTAATCCATTACATTGCGAAAACACGTGAAGATTTCCAAAACAAGGTAATGCAATAAACAAATTTGTTTCTTATCCTATGAGTGTGTAGAATGTGTGTAGAACCATGACTTAACGTAGAGATGAGTTTATTATTAACGATACATTTATGTACATCTATAATCAGATTCCCATGATTACAACCATACAGGTCATCCCTCAAAAGTTGAAACAAAACTTTTACGAGACAACGACAAAGAGAAGATCAAATCTGGAAAAACACATTGTATACGTACCCTCAATACAGAAAATCCACATCCACTGGGGAAGTGGCTACAACGACAGCCCGAGACATATACGAACATACGAAACACTTGACAGCACATGTCGTGTCATTGCTAGTAAATATAGTGAACTGGGCAAGATGGTCGAATTTTACTGATGCGACCGAATGATTTAACATTAAGTGTCTCTGATGTGGGTATATATTGGTGTGGGTGGATGTGTAGTATTCCCATCGATATTTATACATGACCTGTGTTAAATAGAATGCAAGTGAATTAATGACATATTGGCTGCCATATGCCCCATGTAAATATACTTATAAGTATATTTGAACAACCAACACCTTGTATAATACCAATGTATGCCCAAGCCATTATGATATACCATGAAAGATGTTATACGCACATTGCCAGATTGGTGCG